ATCGCGCGAGATTACCCATCATACACTCGATATTATGATATTTAGATATTTCAACAATTCTCATAATTTTTGCAAAAGGCTGTATTAAACTATATATATAATATATATACTTACAGCTATGGACCTGGCCTTTGTTGTTCAAAGCCCGATTAGCCTTAATCTAGCTCCATTGCTTTTTTAAGTTAACCATTGCTCCATTGCTTTTTTAAGTTAACCGAGTCGTTAGTGCTAATTGATCTTTGTGACCAACCCGGCCCTCAGGTATAAAATTAAGATGGATCGGACGTTAGACAAAATTTAGTAGATCCCCCAGCACTATCGATCAAAACGGTACCATATTTTCCTACAATACACATGATATACTAATAGATATGGACAAGGCACGAAAGCTGTCCACGTTAGGGAGGACGGTGTGGCATGGTGGCTGGGTTGTCCCGAAGTACTCTGTCCGTGGTTGGGATAAGATTGAACAAAGTGTGCACTTCCTGTTAATATATTCAACGCTGAGAATAACCCTTTTCGCGTTTAGCCAATGAAAAACTTTGCGCAATAAGTAAACTGTAGTTTTGCTTCAAAGAGACGCAAAATCGCGGGCATCAACCACATTAAAAAATTTCATTTTTTAGCTTGTTTATCCTTTTGCAAAACAGGAAAATAATTTTTGGTGGTGAAAAAAGCAAGGTTTTTGATATTACTTGGCACACTTGTTCATTTGAGCGATTTGAGGGATGCAGCAAATATGTTGCCCGTTTTGCTTTTAACTGCGAAAACTTCTATCGTGAAAATCTCATTGTTTGTTAATTTCATGCTTTTTCCGCTTGTGAAAATATCTCCCCTCTCATAGGTAGGTAGAACTTTTAATCAAATGCAAACTTCTTATACATCTGCAATATCGCCATCTAAATGTATTAGGTGCGCGAGTGTTGGACTGTGTGTCTTAGTTAACTGTTGATTTTTAAACGTATAACCTTCGCTATCTGTTTGTCTGCAATACAAGTTACTATCGGCGTATTTCATTAGCAATAAAAAGATCATTGTCGCTGCATATTTCATTCTCAATCGAATATCGGAATCGGAATCATCAATTGAAAAACAAAATTAAAATCGCCGTTATTGCATAACTTAATCGGGCTCTTGCGTCTCGCTAGTATTTTTGTTGCACTATTTTAAAAAGCATTGCACGATGTAAGACTCAGGTCTACGTTTTGATCGAAACGCATAACAACGACATTTCTTGTTTTATTTCGAGTGTCCACCATCTTGACTCTTGCTCCTAGCTTACCTGAACTCAAAATTGTCGCTAGTTGAAGAGGAAAATTCAATAGCCGACTTGCGAATTACGCATCAATAGTCACATACAAAAGAATCGAGACGAGGCGCCGTGCTTTTTTGTGAAAAATATATTGTCTTTAGCACGGCGCCTCGTCTTGATTCCTTTGTATGTGACTATTGATGCGTAATTCGCAAGTCGGCTATTGCACGTATCTAGGCCGTAAATTTTTAGCAAGTTGCGAGTCGCCACGCCGCTGAGACAAAAGCTATTACACTCTGCAATTTTCGTTGTTAAAACGTAAAATACACTTTCTTATTGTTGAAATGCATTTTGGGAGTTGATGACGAAGATTGCTTTTTATTGATCGTATGACGGTTGTATCATGAATGGATGGCAAAAGATCATATTCGACAAAAAAAAACAACAAACAAACAAACAAACAAAAAAATCAAAACAAAAAAATCAGAACAAAACAAAAAAACAACAACACCTTTTCCAACTTTGGGATTCAGGTCAGCAGAATGTGAACATTTCCTCAGATACTTTGGACAAAGCGTAGCTAAGCCAACAGCTAAATCTATCACTTAAACAATATATTCCACCTTAGCAAGCTTATAAACCATGGTATATTTAGTGGAATACATTCAAAAAGTCATTTGATCAAATGTCGGTTTCAGGCTCGTAGGCTGCCTTACAAATGGGGGGAGGGGGTTGTTTTTTTTATGACGAGGACCTAAATGAAATGCTTAACTAAATTAGTTCAATGTACAGGTATAGTGTGTTGACTCAAAAACAGTTCATGACAAAAGAATTTTGAAATACTGAACAATAAAAAAGAC